CTTATTGCATCTTCAAGACTTAGACTGTGCTAGAATATACAGTATACACACAATATATAATAGGATATACAAATAAGATTCTGCATGAATAGATTGGGTCTAAACTTGTATTAATTCCATCAATTACAAGGAAAGATGTTTGGCTGACAGAGATCAGCCTGGTTTTGAGATCTACAGTAGCCGCTCATATAAGCAGCCCCTAAATTAAAATATCCACCTACAATCCTGGAAAAAATTTATATATTGTCGACAGTGTGCGCAAAAATACAAATACCTGCCTTGCCCAAACATTTTTAACTGTTGAAAAGCTTCTAGATCGGTTAGGCGAAAGCTCTGTGACTGATGGAGGAGATGAAGATGTCAACATGCGTATGTGAACAGTAATACTTTAATTGTTCACACCTAATTAGTGTCCACAGAATTTTTGCCATGATTGTAGCTATAGGTGGAAGTAAAACTGTGAGTTCAAAATATATTCAACAGCATTAATTTTTTGTTGCCCAATTTGACAAAGTAATACTTTATATGTTGTTATGCTGGGTTTTTCCAGCTTGACAGTAAACAAGCTGTTTGTTTTGTTTTATAACCTGTTAGAAATAAGGAAAAATACATGAGTCCCAGGCAGCTGTGCTTGGATCTTAGCCCTTTAAAGTAGTTGCATTGCTCCCAAATGCACCCTACTTTATTAGTCTACTCTGTCTAATGCCAGACAATTTTACTTGTCAAGTGGAAAAGTGCTGGCACTCATGCAATAGGCAGGGCTTGCAAAATTTTGAAAAAAGTGGCTGCCCTTCGGGCAGGCAACACTCACAATTTGGTTGCCCGAGGCCATTTCTCACTTGCCCACATTAAATTAGATAAAAATAAACGAATGAAGTTGAATGAACTACAACAAAACCGGTGTTTATTTAACTGTTAACAAGTTACAACTGCTACTGTGTTACAAATACTCTTACCTCCCATGCTTGGATTACTACTGTCATTGACATTGTTGATCCAAAACACAAAAGTGTGGTTGCCTGTCGGGACATTAATTAGTCAAGAGATTTTAGTTGCCCGACACAAATTTTTGGTTGCCCCGGGACGTCGGGCAGGCGATTTTGCAAGCGCGCTGGCAATAGGTTAAACACCCAGGTCACTAACCTGGTGCTCTACTATGCAGTTGAGCTAAATGTGATCAATGACAGGCTGCGCTCAGATTTGTGTACTCTGCCCTGCATGGGGAAAGCCACATACGAATAAAAAACATTTAATACAACTTTAGATCCAATCTATTCATGTAGAATCTTATTTGTATATCCTATTATATATTCTTGTGTGTATACTGTATATTCTAGCACAGTCTAAATCTTGAAGATGCAATAAAGCATGGAATAAATAAGTCAACAGCAGGTTATGCAGATATAATAATCATTTATACTATGTAAATGTTCATGGTTCTGTTGGCCTTTTTGACATTTCATAGGCATGGGGTGATAAATCAATTTTTGAATAACAGTTTCTATGATTTACTTTACACCTTATGACCAACAATAATTCCTTAATGATTTACTGTGAGTTTTCAAGCAGACTGACCTTAATTAATCCTTTCCTTATGTGTGTCTGAGAGCTATTAACCTGAATAAATCGTCATGGTTGATGATTGTTCACTTAATCACTTGTTTGTTCTTCTATGGGCATTAGCCTTAAACAAACTCAAAAAATATACACAGAGAACACCTACCTTATTGCTTTTCTCTGCCAAATAAATAATTTAAACTTGTATTTCTCATTCTTTAGCGATTTTACTGGCAAATAAACTGAAAATCACTCTGACAAGCCATTTTTAAAACCACGTGACTGTGTTTGTTTTGCAGCAAATTTAATAACATTGCTCTAAATCTTAACTCGGTCATGAACATCGGAGACTGGGGAGCAAAAACGGATTAAACGGCATACTCTGAGTGATGTTATTTAATTTCAAAATGGCGCGTGTTTATTTTTGTTCGTCGAAGAACTGAAAATACAAATGCAATTTGTGAAAAAACTGCGGGTCTACGGAGCGGCAACTTTTCGGATTTGAATTCAGCGTGTTCTAAAATGTTAGTTACCGTGAAAATATTTCAGTTCCACGACATGCTTAATGAAAGTGAACGATATCGGGTCATGGCCAACGGCCTATAATACAGAAGTTGGTATTTGCTGAAAATGAACTCGAGCTGAACGCAGTATTTTCTGAGCTGAAAGACGATCAGGCTGCAAAGAAGTACAAAAATTTCGTTAATTACACCAAAAATTCAATGCTCCGGAAGTCAGAATGGGCTATAATTATGTCTTCGAAAACGTCTGTTAACTACAGGTAATAACACAGATAACTATACAGAATCGATTATTTTTATCTTCAAGTGTATCATTTTACGACGTATCCGTGCGTACAACTTGGTGGAACTTTTTAAATTTATAGTGGAGGACCTCGACAGGTATTTCCAGCGTAAACTACTAGCACTGGCTTTTGGTAAACCGCAGAATTTGCACATTGCTTCCAGATGTTTTGGCAAAAAAGCAAGCACGGTCGATTTGGCAACAATTACACAAGACAGTGGCGAGCCATTTAAATTTTATGTACCAAGTAGGAAAGAAAAAGGAACAATTTACGTGGTTAACTCTTCAATCGGAATGTGTTCTTGTCCAGCAGGCGAAAATGGAAACAGCTGTCCTCACCAAGCCGCAGTCGCGCTTAAGTACAGCATCTCTAACAGCAACTTTATACCGACAAACCATATTGATAAATATAAGCTTGCAGTATTGGCCATTGGAGAGCATCCAGACTTGTGTGCTGAAAAATTTGCAGACATCCACCAAAAGAAGTTTGACTGGACTAAAACAACGATTACAGAACCTGTTGTTGTCAATGAGATTCCAAAGTATGTGCCACTAAACGACGAACCCGAAAACGTTAATGATGAACACACTGCCAAGCCGGAGACAAGCTTAGAGGACGTTATTAAACTCCACAAAGAGGTATCCAGCGATATAGAATTTTGGTTACGGAGTGGAAATCCAAACTTTATAAAATGCTACAGTAAATACCTTGAAACCTACAAAAAAATTGTAAATAAAGCAAGAGGACAATCTCCAATAAACAGTCTTTCTTCTGCTTATGTATCATTTGGCAGAAATACAAATTGCAAAATGTTACCAATACTCCATAACGCAAACAAAAGAATTAGAGTACAACCAACTGCAATATCTCGTCGTCGATCAGGAATAAAATCATCACTCGCACAACCTGCAGGCCGTAAGCCAACCTTAAGAAAAAAAGACTAATGTACGATGCCGGACAGGAAAAGAAAGAAAGAGCCAAACAGAAAGAGAAACCTTTCATTAAATATAAACTTAAACAAACCAAACGCTGGACACACACGTTGATATGAAGGGTAAACATTTTCCTTTTCACACTATATTGAACCTCCTGGAATATACTAGGAATTAACGTTTTCTAATTAAACATATGCCTTAAACAAACTGCCACTTTGTGGTCTTCCATCAACGTTTTAAAGATGATCCTTTTCTGAACATTGCATCCACGTAACTGCCTCATGGTGTCGCTGTTCCTGGAGTCTATCAAGAACGTGCCTTAATTTAAACATATGCCTTAAACTAACTGCCACTTTGTGGTCTTCCCATCAACGTTTTAAAGATGATCATTTTGTGAACATTACATCCACGTCCAGAACGTACTTTAATTAAATTTATATATATATGCCTTAAACAAACTGCCACTTTGTGGTCTTCCCATCAACATTTTAAAGATGATCCTTTTGTGAACATTACATCCACGTAACCGCCTCATGGTCTCGCTGTTCCTGGAGTCTATCAAGAACGTACTTTAATTTAAACATATGCCTTAAACAAACTGTCACTTTGTGGTCTTCCCATCAACGTTTTAAAGATGATCATTTTGTGAACATTACATCCACGTCAAGAACGTACTTTAATTAAATTTATATATATATATGCCTTAAACAAACTGCCACTTTGTGGTCTTCCCATCAACGATTTAAAGATGATCCTTTTGTGAACATTACATCCACGTAACCGCCTCATGGTCTCGCTGTTCCTGGAGTCTATCAAGAACGTACTTTAATTTAAACATATGCCTTAAACAAACTGCCACTTTGTGGTCTTCCCATCAACGGTTTAAAGATGATCCTTTTGTGAACATTACATCCACGTCAAGAAAGTACTTTAATTAAATTTATATATATATGCCTTACACAAACTACCACTTTGTGGTCTTCCCATCAACGTTTTAAAGATGATCCTTTTGTGAACATTACATCCACGTAACCGCCTCATGGTCTCGCTGTTCCTGGAGTCTATCAACAACGTACTTTAATTTAAACATATGCCTTAAACAAACTGCCACTTTGTGGTCTTCCCATCAACGGTTTAAAGATGATCCTTTTGTGAACATTACATCCACGTCAAGAACGTACTTTAATTAAATTTATATATATATGCCTTAAACAAACTGCCACTTTGTGGTCTTCCCATCAACATTTTAAAGATGATCCTTTTGTGAACATTACATCCACGTAACCGCCTCATGGTCTCGCTGTTCCTGGAGTCTATCAAGAACGTACTTTAATTTAAACATATGCCTTAAACAAACTGCCACTTTGTGGTCTTCCCATCAACGGTTTAAAGATGATCCTTTTGTGAACATTACATCCACGTCAAGAACGTACTTTAATTAAATTTATATATATATGCCTTAAACAAACTGCCACTTTGTGGTCTTCCCATCAACATTTTAAAGATGATCCTTTTGTGAACATTACATCCACGTAACCGCCTCATGGTCTCGCTGTTCCTGGAGTCTATCAAGAACGTACTTTAATTTAAACATATGCCTTAAACAAACTGCCACTTTGTGGTCTTCCCATCAACGTTTTAAAGATGATCATTTTGTGAACATTACATCCACGTCAAGAACGTACTTTAATTAAATTTATATATATATGCCTTAAACAAACTGCCACTTTGTGGTCTTCCCATCAACGATTTAAAGATGATCCTTTTGTGAACATTACATCCACGTAACCGCCTCATGGTCTCGCTGTTCCTGGAGTCTATCAAGAACGTACTTTAATTTAAACATATGCCTTAAACAAACTGCCACTTTGTGGTCTTCCCATCAACGGTTTAAAGATGATCCTTTTGTGAACATTACATCCACGTCAAGAACGTACTTTAATTAAATTTATATATATATGCCTTACACAAACTACCACTTTGTGGTCTTCCCATCAACGTTTTAAAGATGATCCTCTTGTGAACATTACATCCACGTAACCGCCTCATGGTCTCGCTGTTCCTGGAGTCTATCAAGAACGTACTTTAATTTAAACATATGCCTTAAACAAACTGCCACTTTGTGGTCTTCCTATTAACATTTTAAAGATGATCCTTTTGTGAACATTACATCCACGTAACCGCCTCATGGTCTCGCTGTTCCTGGAGTCTATCAAGAACGTACTTTAATTTAAACATATGCCTTAAACAAACTGCCACTTTGTGGTCTTCCGGTCAACGTTTTAAATATGATCCTTTTGTGGACATTACATCCGCGTAACTGCCTCATGGTGTCGCTGTTCCTGGGATATATCAAGACAACAGTATATACATTATCAATCTCTAAACTGCAGTATCTGCCACTTGTGGTATTGTTCCTCTACGTTTTAAAGATGGTCCTGAAATGAATATTGCATCAGAATGACAACCTCATCAAGTTGGAACAAGCTGCTGTTTGATGTGGCTGTTCTCCCATTATTTGAGACTACTATCAACACCTCTGTGTAGTGATGCTTGCATGTTGCACTGCAGGTATTTAATATTAATTTAAATAGACCATTGTTGCAACTGGTGATGTTTGCTGCATTAGCAATAGACAATTTGCATTTAAATTCCCGCAAAGAACAAATTTTGTGTATGTTTGTATTACTGTACTTGGGGAAATTGTTACCATTTTTGAGCCGAAAATGGTAACAATTTCCGCACGTAATACAAACATACAAAATTTGCAAACTTTGCAAGACTATATTTTCCAAACTTTACAACAACCAAATTTTGCAATTTTACTAATTTCATTATGTTCTTTTTAGCTGTGGTGTTCGATTCCCATCATTCCCTTCTGTTTACTTAGATTAAAATTTAGTCTGACATGCAAGTTGTCCATTAGTGTAATTGATGCTTTCATTTCAAATAAATGATGAGATCGATTGGAATGAAATGTGAATAGAATGTTCTAAGTGGTTAATATACAATGGTCCGAAGCTCAGATATCAATGTACATGCTAGTTGACACGTTATCAGTCTCCTATTTTCTTAGGAAAATGCTTTTTACATTGTGTCAGTATAAATTTCATCATGCAGAATAAGGCTACAATAATGGCTAGTTATCACATGGCCATGTTATGAGTTCATTGGCGAAGTAATTTTAAAAATAAACATTGTCCAAGCCGAGAAAATCAAAGCTGAAATTTATATAAATTAGGACAAATCTTTATCCGATTTACAAACATTCATTAAACATTCATTAAACATTCATTTCTTTTGAATTTTCTTCATGATCTTTAGTCATTATCAACATTGTAGCGATTGATGGCCTTTGAAGGTCAAGCGAGATCGTATATTGTCAAATTACGCAATTGTCTGAACAACAATATAGACTAGCCTTACCTTTTGCCGAACATAACTTCGGCCCCTTCGGGTGTATCTTCTTTGTAATAGTCTTGTTCGAATCGCTGTAAAAACACTATTTACAGTGTCATTTTCGAGCCTGTAACTTCAAATTTGCATCTTTTATCACGGTCGATAAGGCCCAGGAACCGAGGATGACTGTGAGCTCGGTAATAATTCCATGTCCAGTATACACCAATATAGAAAATAGAAAGGAATAGTTTTGATATATAGTCAAATATATAGATTTATTAAAAAGACCGATTTAGCAGTCAATGACTGAATTACATCGGTTTACAAGATTAAAAGGATTAAAATACAAAATACAATCAGATTAAGAATTATTATAGTAATAATTACATGGTTAATTATATTAAGTTTTACTGATGTTAAAAGCTTTACTTCCAGCAATTATGAAACTGTTTGCATATCTATTAGTTCTACACCTAGGTATTGATAGTTTGTTATTACCACCCCGAAGGGAATATTCTGTATCCCAGGGCGAAGGGAGAGAGGGCGTAGAAACGGCCATACATCGAGCGGACCAGGAGCGGACCATCCGTGATGCGGGCTTCGCGGGGGGTAAGAC